TCATTTTATGAACCTACTTTTATAACTAATGTAAAGCTGTTGAAACAACCTAGAACCAGTTTAAAAACATAACACTCTAGAATTAAGCATACTTAAGGACATTAGTTTACGAAAAGATATTAAGATCAAATTAATGGATGCTTATAATACTCTATATTTCACATAATGATTCATTTAGTTCTCTAATAATTTTGACAGGGATAGGAAAATGTTTTTGAATGATTGAACTCAGCAAAATATTTGACCATTTATCACAGCTTCTTAAAAAATATGGATATTACACAACACATGAGATTTAACATGATTTGGTCTTTTTTCATTTAAAAAAGTATTGCAGGTATACTATAAGGGATACCTAAAATGAGAAAGTTAAGATAGTGATAGCAAGAGACACTGAAATTAAGAAATGCAAAAGATAAAACCACAGCAATAAGTACAATTCAGGAATACATAATGAATACATCATAGGAATAAAACAACATTACTAAACAGAAACTTCTTAGTATGGAAACTCAACGTATAATGAAGGTATTTTCAGTCTTAGTAAGTTGTAGTTATGTGTGTGTGACTATTCATTTGGATTTCTGGTGTTTCGATCGGAAGTTTGTGAACATGCTGATCAACTATGAGACGAACAAATTAACAGTATCGATGAATTTATCGTTAATAACGTTAGGAATAATGCAGTATATTATTCTAATAGATTTCACAGGTATTCTGATACATCGACTCCATCATAGGATTTTAAAGAAAACGGAGTTATAAGAAAATGAATTTTTCAACCAAAGTTAGTTTGATGATAGCGCAATCTGATTGAAAGTAACTTATTTGAAGAACTCCCTTCTTCATACAAACAAAAATGAATGTTGACATTGCAAAATTGGCTGAAATGTAAATCATAAAAGGGTAGTTACTTAGAGTGTCTATATCGCTATCCGAGCAATTGAGATATTAACTGAACAGTATATATTATTTTGTTGAAGTTTGACATTAAAAGACTAGATAAAAAGGCTTCCGTTTGTTTATTGAATACATCAAAGTAGAAATATATATTAACTAAGTTTTGGCCGAGAGGTTTATCATTTGTAAATTGTAAGGCAACAGCCTAATTTTCTAATCAGTCTGTACTATTATGTTTATAGTCTTCTGTAAATATAGGCAATGTACATGAAATCAAATTACTTGTCTTAGGTTAGGGAAAATAACATCTTATTTTTTTCGGCTAGTTCTGTGGTGGTTCTCAAACAAAAAGAGCTTACACAAAATATATTGATACACTAGGTTAATAGTGATATACCAAAAAAATTAATTGTAAAGAAACCTAGATGTCTGTCCGTTAGTAAAACCAAAGGTAACAAAATACCGTTAGCAATACAAAAGGTATATTAAACAAACAGACACTAACAGTTACTATAGAATGAATGTTACTTGTGAACTGCCTCGTGAGAACAACGACCACAAATTGAGTTCACTTGATTGACAGGTGTTCCTCTGCAAGTGACTGCACCAATGACGTAATGAGGAAGACGGAATCCAATAATATTATACAATAGTAATCCGCGCCAAAAGTCCAACGTTGAGTCGGAAGGCCTATAATGACGTTATAATACTATTATAGTCTTCAATCAAAACGGTGGCTAATAAAACAGAAGAACAAACGGCGTAGATAGTGTTCTATATTTTAAACAACGCGGTAGTAGAATCGTATATCACTCATCGAAACAATTATCATCGTCTTTTTAACAAGTGATACAGTAAAACAACAGATATTGAATAAAAATGTGGTTACAAATAAAGTGTGACAAATTAGAGAAAAAATGTGGTTTTTATTTTTGTTGTTACAAAAATCACTGAATATATGTCACCATAGTTCCAATTAAGTTATTGTAATATATTTTGAACTGAATGGTTTGATCGCACAGTTTGGATTATCTTTCCAATCACCATTTTCGACAAAAACACCACTTAGAAATGTGCTATTATAATTTCTGCATAAGTAGATAGCAGTACGTTTTTCTGAAATAAGATATTTGTGAGAAATTTCAGTTGTCTGCTTTTCAAAATTATTGTACTTGGTTTTTTTCCTGATACTCCGTTTATCTTCTTTTGTCTTGGTGTTCCTCAAAACTATCTTGTATTAACTGTGATTCTTTTGGCTTGATAAGTTGCGTACTAGACATACTGAAAGTGAATCTGTCGGTAGTGTATAAATATTCTGTTTATATTAATTCGGCCATCAATAAAAGTTGACTTAAAATAGGTTCGTCTAATTTTACTCTGTAAATTTTAAGTGACTATTATGTAGATTGTTTGATAAATATTTTCTGTTTTTACGTACAACTTTTTTTAGAGATTTTTTTTTCTATCCATTTGTATTGTGCTACGCTGTCTTAGGATTTGTTCTATTCTCTTAGTTTCTGTAAAACTTCGTTTTGCTCTTCTCAGCTGAGTATGAAAATGTCTTCGTCATTTGTAGGGTAATATTATTTTGTTGAGATCTATCTTTTTTAAGTGATGACTCCAATTAAACAATTTTCAGCGATATTAATTTGAAATATGTCAAGGAAAATATCTGTCTTATAGTTCATGAACTATTGTCTATAACCTACCACGAAGCCTTAAAATGACTTATGATAGATGCAAGTGTCGTATTTAAATTTCAACTTTCGAAAAATCAAGATGAGAAAAATACTTCATATTAGTATGAAGTAAGTTAAAATGAAACCGCCAATTTCTCCACATTCAGTAATGTTTTTTTAAGTACTTGATATAAATAACTAATACATACTACCAAATTATATTAAACGTCTAATTTGGGAAATCCGTTCCTGATATTCATTAAAGCATAAAACACAATTTAAAAAGCAGTATTATCAACTACTGTGTAATATTCTCTAAAAAAACTACAATTTATGCAAATTGACGTGTCATAACTTTGTATTAATATTCCCCAATACGAATTTGTATGAATTTGGTACCACTAGTGACATTTGATGAATAAACTTATCTGATTATCACTTTTCCTTATCACATAACCACTTTTATTTTCGTTGCACTCATTGTTTTGTTTTGTTTAACACCAATCTGAATATTCATTGATGAGGCAATTCAGCAAAGGAAAATTTCTTTTCGACGATATCATTTACTCAAGCTGTAAAATCGTAATTATAGTTAATTTACAAATAAAATGATCTATTAAAAGATAAGAGGAAGATTACATTATATCATGTGCCAAAAAAAGTTGCTTAATAATCGAAAATTGAAGCAAGATAGTAGGATGAGATCGAATGTAAGAAGGATAATTGTCCATTTGACGAATATGAGAAGGGTAAAGAATAAATTAAAAACGTGTAGATGATATTTAAAATTAAAAAGATTGGAAACATTAGAAGAATGCAATAAAACCAAATAACCATTTACGAAAACTAAGTGTAGGGGCTACCAAAGAATGATGACTTGCACGTTTCTCTATTGCACACAGAGTTCAGATATAAAATAATGAATTACTAACGTTTTTGCAGTGCATAAGTTAACAATATGTGCTCTTTTCAAAGCAAATCGTCTGAGTGTCTAGATCATTTTAAAGGAATTCTCGGATGATGCCATGTGACCGTAGTTCGAAAGATGTTCTAATATTGAACTGTTGATTGATTTACATCCACCTTTTGAAAGACAAGTGGGATAACGTTCAGAGAATCGTTTGGAAAGCGTTCTCTTTTGTAAGGTTTATATAACTTGCTTCACAAGAGCGAGTGAACCTAGAAATGCACATCAGTATGACCCAATCAGATAGTTTGTCCTTAACACATCTATGAATGATGGCGTGGTGAGAAAGGACGATGCGGAACTTAGCGGCACAGGTGCTTGTATTTTTATATACCGATTAAAGAAAGAATAGAAAAGTGGTCTAGGTAGGTTATATGATAGTAATATTCCGATTTTAATTTTTATGCTTTCTGAGGTCTAACAATTTATCACTGAAGAATATATTAGTAAGTTCTTTTTCTTATTTCCTATTATAATAGCAATTTAAAATGATCAACGAATAGGAGTCTCATACTTCTAAATTAATATTAAATCAAAATAAGTTGGATAAACCAGTTCGATAGAAAAATTTCCTCATTAGGTTTATATTTCAAATGTCATGCCGCCTACATGAATGAAAAAGTAAATGATATTTATTTATTTTGATTAATAAACTATCAGCGTACTGCTTACTACGATTTTGTAATATTCAGTTTGCACACATTGCATAAGTTTGATTAGTTTAACCTAAATGGTCTTGTGATTCCAGATTATAATGAAACATTTTCTCGTATTTATGTTGATAATCGATATCGATAGATAGAAGGTATTCATCATATTTCTTACAATTCGGGATATTTTTATTTAACTAAGAAAACTACGAAATAGAAATACTATTAGATCATTGTTAAGAATTTCTTCAGTGAACTATCTCAACCATATATTGGTCTAAGTCAGTTACAACAATACAGAAGCCATCTAGCAATAACTGGATTCTAGTCATCGGTAAATCAGAGAAAAAGGACTTATAATAATTTTTACAATAAAGTTTGTTTTACGATAAACTCAAGAAATAACCAATCATATTCGAGTTGAATTTGTTGCATATTTAAACATGACCTTAATAATGAACCGCTAACGACGAAATCTTAACGAAGGAGGAACTACTTTACATATCTTTGAATACAAAATCAAGGTGATTCAACTCTTGGTAAAAAAGGTCATTTTTGAGAAATAGTAATAATTCCTAGTAGTCACACTGTATGTTATTAGGTTTTCTGCTGTAACTAAATATCATGCTGACTTCAATTAGAGAAAGCATTCGTCTTTACACTACTATTATTTTACAGTATGATCAAACACCAAGCAAAATACATATTTTGTAACTATGGCTATGAATTCACTTATTAGTAATTATTATTGCAGAGAACACAATGTTGCTAGGAAAATACATACACATATTATCATATGTATACGACAAAATACTGAGAAAACTGACATTGAAAGTAACCTGTATGTACAAAAAAGCACGTCTCGAGAGAGAATGTATTAAAAAACAGGTTAATGTTTAGAAATGTTTTATTCGATTTAATGATGCACTGAGGCTGACATTCAATTCTTGGAAATGATCGTTTGGAAGCCATGAATTTAGTCAGTCTGAAATAAAGGAAGGCTTTTACTGATGACAGGTGACCAATCAACAAGAATTGATTTAATAAGAGTCAAAAATATAATTTAACTAGTAAAAAACAGGTTAATGAGAAAATTGTTGAAAAAATGAAATGATCAACATATATTCGCTCTGCATGTATTCATACTTCTATACTTGGTAAGTGAATTTAACCTGTTACAATAAAATGATTTGGAAATGTGTGCAAATCATTTATTTATGTAATCATGTGAGAAGATTTGTACTACTCCTCCTGCAAAGCACTAACTATCAACATAGTTCAAAATGAATTAGAGTTTATGGTGTGATTTTTTTACAACTAGGTAAATAAAGATCTTATTAAAATGGGTAATGCAGTAATAAAATTAGGATGAATCAAATTCCAGAATTTTAGTGAAGTAGATGTCTGGGCGTAGTGAAATAAAAATGATAAGTTTACATGTAACCTAAACAAAAAGAGGGACAGAACGGTAAATTGGAATGTAAAAGAAATACAAAGGTGGGATCATGATAAGAATATGAACTGTACATATTGTTTCTGCATATATAAATTTGTCACTATGCTATGTTGCTAATGTTTCAGCACTGCTTTAGAGATGTGTGTGTTCAATTTTCTGTAAATGAAAAATGATCTTTTAAATAATTTCGAGTGATGAATCAGAAGCGTTGTAATTCAAATACAGATTATAGGTACAAAGCATTTCTAGGGTTTAGTTTAGAACCAATATATAAAGGTGTTGAATTCCTTTTAAATTAATAAAAGTGCTTCAAAGGAACTTTTATCGAGATTTAGGAGAATGGCTCCAGGAAAATCGGTATCTGGTTCAGAAGACATTCTATAGCTATTGTTAAGATTTTCACGACTGAAAGTTAATGGTTACAATATTTGTCCCGACAGTCTGTTCCGACAAACCAAGGTAATTCCAGTTATTAAAATTTATATATATCTTTGTTATAAATTTTCTCATGCAATTAAACCGTAATAATTGTATATTTATACGGATTATAGTCCAAAGTGAATTAAATACCGAAACATTGCTTGATCCTTTTGTCGGCATTTAATATACACTTTAATAAATATCATGATAAACAATCTATTAATTCATTGATTATTAAGATAGGCAAAAGTAATAAAATGCATCCATACCAATCCTATTTCAATATTTCATATTCTGTTCAAGATGAGATGACTCCGTCTAACGTTTGAACCTGAACCCACATACTGTGCGTTGATTTGGTTTAACGTGACTCAATAACCGGGAAACGTGTTCATGTGCTCGACTAATAGCTGCACATCTTAGATATGTGGGAGAGGAGGGGACCGATAAAATGACCAGATTTCTCTGAATTCATTTATCTTAAGTTTATGCTTTATTTAACATTTGTGTCTTTATTTCTTGAGATAACAGTCCAGTCCACAAAGATAGGTGTAAAAGCTAGATAGCTTATTGTAGTATATCCATCGCAGTAAAATGCTTCACATTTGAATTCGTTACAAATTTACAAGTTTCATAAAGGTTGTAGTGATTGATGAGCAACATTAATCAAAACGTTCCAATGAATAAATCTGAGACAGTTACTTTTAAATATGAGATCAAATGCTTAACGATATCGTATCTTGCCACTAAAATTTTTAGACAAACTACATTCCTCGAATAGTTTGACTGTTAATCAGAAGTTAGTTATCAAATTTCCGCGGGAAAATATGACATTTTGGCGATTGAAGAACTTGACTTCTAAATACTTAGAATCACTTCTTGAGTTTCGGCATCCTTACCATCTCTTAGATAAGATATATGTTGCAGAGCCAATTACACATGAATTTGGATTTGGCTAATGGTCCACATTAAAAATACGAGATAAAGATATCTATGCGTTACGTTTTTCTAAAAGGATAACCAAGGTTATATCGACAATTAATCATATCTATCGAAAGTTTGCAGCTATATCAATAAAATTATATTAATTCATTAAAAATGTTGTAACAATACTAAGTAAACGTAAATTTACCTTACTTCGAACAATGAATACTATGTAAACAAATCGAAATCTATTGTGTGGAATTTGTTGTATTGTGCAGTAATAATAATCATAATGTTCATTATTGAATAATCATTTGTATTTTTAAACAAGAAGATATATATAAATATATCAGTCAATAAAGAAATGTCTCAAAAGTAATTCAACAATTCCGCAATAAATAAAAGATAGAAAAATAATAGAGAATGAATATTACCTATTATGCAAACAAATAAATAGATGTAATTTCAACGTTTCAGCATAAAAAAATCATAAGGGTTGAATGGATAAATAAAATAAATAATTACAATAAATAGGCTGTGTTATAACTATTTGTCTTTTTTCCCCATTAGAAATCCTCTGGAATTTCATCATTTGCTTCATTGATATAATTATTAGATCCAACAGTGATTACAACAGAATTTAAACATTCTCGTCGTTTATATGGTAACTTTAAGGTGAAAAGTTGGACAATTGATAATAAAACCATAAAAGCACATAAACCCATATGTGGTGCACTGAAATCCTAAACAAATCAAAAATGAAGTGAAAGGTCAATGGTAGTCCTTCGTATACAATAATAAACATACATTTTTCATGGAAATGTACAACTATATAAATATCGCTTTCAAATATCACTTATCTCAAATGTAATCCACTACAAACAATACAGATACGTATTGACTATATTGTTAATATGAAAATATCTATTATTCGGACATCGAATTTTCAAAATAAAAGGGCGAAAATTTACTTAAATGACTGTAACAAGCAGATAAAAAGTTTGAATAATCTAACAAGATTTACTACTGAAAAATAAGTTTACTATGAAAAATGTAATAATCCGTGTTAGTAATTTTTGGTTAATAGTGACAATGAAAAAAAATAGGACAAAATTTGTTTGTTATTTTACACTAAATAGGTAAATAATTAATTATACCTGCTTTGTTGAATTTCTAATTATTATGTTTTCTTAATATGTACTAGATACCGTTATGATGCAAGATACTGGTTAAATAAACAGTAATTCATGGGGCCGATCGGAATAATGTAAGGGATTCTTAAGTGGTTAAATGTACACTGGCTTTTAGTAATTGCTTAATACTATGACACTAAAAATAGACTGCTTTATCACAAGCCATTATTATGGTGTATTAAAAAACTTAAAACTAATCCCTTACTGTGACAATGAGATTCCTAATCATATCCAGTTATTCTCTATTAGAGTATGGTGTATTATACTGTTGTTGGAACTTAGTGTTGCGTTATTTTGGTGAGATGCGTATTTGCTTCTTTGAGATATGTGCAACATAATACGCATGAATGACGATAAACCTTACCTATAAGAAAGTTTTTGAAACGGGTTAATCTGAGAAATAAGTTTTGAAAAATGTTAAATATAGTTCTTAAGAACTTATACATTTATTATAAAACAATCAGTTTTATTGCAAATTGTTTACCCGTATATCTTCATTCGGACCACAAGTGCTGATAATTTTAGTTGAATTGTTAGCTAAAGGTGCAGTAAACTGTAAAATAGGCAACATTGCGAGGGAAATTATTTGGTTGGAGATGATAAGAAAGCTGGTTGTAATTGCTTCAGAAACTGGATAAGTCGCCTCTGCAGCTAGTTCTAAACACAGGGAAAACTGAGAGAAACCAAATGCTCCAAGCCAAATTAAACAAATGGTGATTAGTATTTGCTGATTAGGGAACCAAAATACAATACTTAGGCAGACAGAGCCCAAAACACTTAGTAAAAATGTGATCTGATAATAAAAGCAAATATAAAACGAGCACAATGTGATATAGCGATACCCAATTAAAAACGTACATCACTGTTACAATATTCTTCAATTTCGGAAGCATACATCTGAAGATAGTAAAGATCATGAATAACCCTGTGGTAATTTCTTAATGATTTTTAATAAACAGATGAATGTATCTTTAGAGTAGACGAAACACATACTGATTGTGTTTTTACTTGAAGTACATCCCTTGAAAATTGACTATTGTTTCTCGTTATACAGTTCTCATATATATATATATATATATATATATATATATATATATATATATATATATATATATATATATATATATATATATATATATATACGAAACCATTATTTTATTTCATATGCCATACTACCAGACGCATTAATATTTTTATGTTGTGTCAAATGACAAACGAATAACGTTCTAAGCAACGCTGGATAGCATATGAATAGGTTGAAAAAACCCAGAGCAGATTGAGAAAAAAGAGTAATTAGTTTAAGTCACTGCTTATTTATTGGTGGGGCTTGTCTAGCTGGAATCAGGACAATAGCCTCAGTCAATAGTTAGACATCTCAAATGACATGATTCAATATCGATCCCTGTGACTCCGAACAATTCACTCTTTGTTTTCAATTAAATTTTGAGTCCTCACATTATTCTACACTTTTTATTCTTAAAATTAGTTCCTTTACAAGCCACATTTCTTATATACAATCACTGTTATTCTAAATCTCTTGTCATTCATCTTATAATCTCTAATGAGCTATAATGATGTGTTGTGGGGACTTGGGTCGATACACACTGTGCCAGGTCCTACTCTCGTTATGGCTATTAGTATGACTATAAATATTGTTGAGCATTATGAAATTACTGTACATAATATCATGTGGTTTGATGTTTAACCGATTAGTAACAGGAAAACTAGGACTTAACACAAATATGCACCACTTTAGTTCTGCATAATTCGCATTAGCAAAGTACAAGAAAACCCAAACGTGGTGAAATAACAATGGCAACTGTATTGGAAAGATTGACATGTGAAATATAGTTAAAAATTAACGAATAAGATCAAGGGATATAAAGTACGGAATGATATTAAGTTCATGAACTTAAGAAAGATATAAATTAATCTAACCGGGTCAATGATAACAAATTCTTAGTTATAGCACCTAAAGTTTACAACTATGGATTAAGGTTAGTGTATTGGCATCAACTAGAATGTCTAGATCTCTTCACGCTGTTAAGTAAGGTCGTATAGATCATCTGGATAAATACTGACTAAATATGTATGACAGATATTCTAACTACAACTGATACTAGGCACATTTAGTAGCCGTAAACCAACCAGGAACGAATCGTTGTATTGTATTCTCACTCCTTGACAGATAAATGAACATGCTCTTAACTCCAATTGTTGCACAGCTAATTAGTGATCAATTAATTTGAATTATGTCTGTATTGACACATCAGGGGTAAAACTATCCGGGTTGAGAGGAATCCCAGTAAAAGTGAGGTATCAAACCAACTTAAGTCCCCCATTAAGTATTAACACAGATCAATGCTGAAACAATATATTTCAATGTACGGTGACAGACTTACATTTAATCTATTATGCCGTTGTTAAGTACTTTTTCTTTTAATAAAGTTCAACACAAAAGTCGCAAAAATTTAACTGCGTTCTTTATATTAAATAGTAATGTAAGTACACTTATTTATATTAGGAAATTTTGTATGTAATTAGAGCTATACGGATTGATACGAAAATCGTAGGGTAGATTAAAAACAAGTAAGATCAATGTATTTCATAATCATTATAACTTCTGACCTTTAGAACATAATTTACTATAAATGGTTTCGTGATTCGATAAAGTAATTAAAAGTAATTAGATAATTTCTATCATTTATTAAAATTAAATCCAAAAATTTGATCTATTTAGTCCCATCCTTTAGTTGATTAAACAATTTAAACTAAATCGATTTGTCCTCTGAAGTTACGGTTCTATTATATACACAGATTTGTACAAAACACATAATTATTGAATCACAAATTTATGAATTTCTAAAAGAAACACAGACCTTTAATGTTTCAATAAGGAATCCCGTTCTATCAACAAACAATGCAACAGGAGCAGCTGCTACTAGGCCTGCAACTATTGTGATTGATCCACAAAACCCAGCAAACTGGTTGGAGTAACCTTTTGTACACAGAATTTGCTGTAGAAGAGCCGACAAGACAGTAAAATATCCGATACAGCTACTGAATGTAATTGTAACAATCCAAAATCCATAGAGCTTAAGGGGTGGACCAAACGCTTTCAAAAAGTTGCATAAAGAATGAAGTGAAATAAAATGTCTGTTAGAGTTGACTCGACGATTATCTATAGCCAAGGTCGCCACATATGAAGGGGGTGTGATTGGTTTACTTCTGCGGACTAAAAATATTGACAAGAAGAACTGAACAGCAACCAATCCCAAGGATATGTAATTGAAACTAACAATATCGGAAGAACTCTTGACATAGTTAGGGGCAAACGCACTGCCCAGCAATATGCCTACTGAATTTCCAAGAGACGCAATAGTGTTTGCGGTGGTACGCTGATTGTCGGGAAACCAATCGCACGCAAGACTGGTTGTGCAGAACAGACAGAATGGTTGAGCAAAAGAAGCGATTACTTGTCCGAATACTATCAAAATGAGACGTCCAGAGGATGAAATATTTATATGTGGTGCGCTACTCAAAACGCGCATGCACCCACACAATAAGTTACAAATAGCTGTACACAAAACAATGAAACGAACTCCAAGACGATCTATGGCATACGCTATTGGGAGACCAAGTACTATCGTAGTCAAAGGGTAAATTAGAGAAATGAGATTGAGAACCGTGTTACTAGTTGAGTAAAACTCGACAAAGTAGTTAGCAATGGGGGAATAAGATATCCACAAATAAGCATTTGTACAACTCAATGACGCAAATGTAAAGACAATTATCCATCTTGTTCGATACACGCGATAATCAGTCTCTTTCAAATGATTAAGGATGTCTTCTTTAAAATCCTCTTGATCATGACTCAAGACGGGCTGCCTAAACGTCATAACAAAAGATTGATATTCGTAGATTGTAGATGAGTCACTAATGTTCACTGGTCCCAAGCGGGAATCATATTCCACCAAAAGAAGCGAAACGTTGTCTGAAAAATGGAAAGAAGTGATATTTGGGATATGTATTAATCAATCATGCTGTTCGTCGGATTATTGATCATCAGGATAACTGACTCAGTGATCAACAATACATGCCACATAAATCCTAAGTGGAATCAATGAAAGTGATCTCAGAAAAGGTTCTAAGTGGTCTGATGGTTGGTAGTACGTAGTTATCTTTCTACTCCGAAATGAATTTATAAGGCTGGATAATACTAAAATGTCGACGTTTGGACAAAGCAAGAGAGTGAAAATCGGTACCAAGCCCTGAACTGCCTGGAGATTTCTATCATGTAGGTCATACCTTCACATATAACCTTCCAAGAATGCTGATCAGTAAACGCAATTATAAACAATGACATCGAAAGATTAAGTCTTGAATCCTAGACAATTTGTACACAGAAATAAGATAACAAGATGTGTTAGGTTCAAATGCAGTGTAAATTCGAAAGACAAACACTCAAGGACTCAAGAAGTACATAGAACTTGGGTCTATTCCGACGAGTTGATGTTGTTCCATCAGTCTGAAATAAATACTAAGCACAAGAACTGAAGAGAGAGAAAATAATAAACTGAAAACATACACACTCACAGTGGAAGAGAATTGTTAACAATAACAATGACAAAAAGCTGACAAAACGTGAACTGAGAAGTAATTTTAAAAGTTAGGTATTCTAACTCGGTCGGATGTCTAACATAAGCCTACGAGTAGATCAGCTGATATGAAAATTTATTATTATTCGCGTCCAACTTAAGGGTACGTTTTATACCTGTGAAACGTATGAGGAGAGATGAAAAACTAGAGAAATATAACAAACGTAACCTTATGATCCAATAAACACATCGTATGGACCTACAATTAGTAACGAATTGGAAAGACGTCAACTGACTATGTTGAATTTGCTTGATTAATTAGCCTTGAGAAACAATCTATATTGAAGTAGTAAAACACTTTCGAGATTTATGACATAGATATTTCTTTTAAATAGAACAGAGTTAACACTGCCTTTCAAATTAATCGTTTCTTATATTGAAATCATGTATTCTGTCAAGTGTGTTGAACCTGTAGTGACTCACGTTTATCACGAGAACACGACTGGTTTAATAAAAACAATTATTATTATAACCAACTGTACCAGTGTTTGTTTTAATGTGCTTTTGTTAAACTGTGCTAATTATAGCCATTTTGTGCTTCCATTACCTTCCATTATTGTTCCGCGGTTTTTGGTACTGTTCGCACGTACTCCTGTCTTCTGCTTCCACTTGTACCATTCCTTGGCACGATCTCGGTATTCGTTCAATACCACGAGATCGCCAACGAAATAAATCTGGTTACGATCGATCCTCGCCTTCTGATTTGTCTGGCACGTGTTTCTGGGTAGCGGTGTTCACAGTTAATCTCAACTCGACGCCACGCTACAAACCTTAAGTTATCAATGAAGAAATATCATGGTTGATACCATTATTAGGGCAAAACATTTGCAATTTTTGGGTTCCTAGATGTTTGGTAGAGAGATAACTACCAGGCGTATTATTCTAGTATCTGGTCCTGATAGTAATTAAAGCCACTTTACTATTTTTAAACGCCACTTAGAACCTAATGGTGATCATTTTAGGTTCCACGTGGAATGTGAGAGTGAAGGAAGTATTAAAATTGTCAGATAATCATTAGACTCGTCGTACGTTTGCTTCCCATATTAGCGCGATGGAATACATCATGTTCGAGGTCGAACAGGGACCATACAACGGCATGTATTGCATAACTCTTTAGTCACGTGGTTGATTGGTTCTGTCAACTAGACGAATTGATTTGGTATTCCCGTGTATATACTAATCGTTCGATTTGATACTTCCCCACCAAATATTTGCTCAGGACTGTCAATTACCAGAATTCTATTTGTGTGTATAGATGTACTGTATTCTGTTCTTTATTTGCGACTAATAGTCCGTTATTATTTAAAGACTTTCTATTTCCCCGCTTATATTAGGCGATTCAAATACCTATTTTACTCTGCGACAATACAAGATCCGTTGCGAAGTACTTTCCTCATTTGGTGTGAACCCTAGGTTCATTTACAACTAATGGTGCCATTCTTTGCAGCACTTCTGTGGTGGTGTTATAGATACGATACCAGGAATTGCGTACAAAACCCCTATCATTTGCATAAAACCGGTGCACAACAATGTGACCAGTAACAGCTGTTGCTATAATTCTGTAATACCTATCTACATCTTTTTGCTGCCTGTTGTTCTGCGCATAGCATGCTCAAATGAGTTGTTCTGACCTTTGGATAAATCACTTTGTTTATTCTGTTAAAGAAGCTACTCACACATAATGGCCTTGTCACTCATTTGCCCATGACGTTGACTGTTCCCACACGAAAGTTTAGTTTTCCAGCACACTCTATTCGTCACATGACTTCTGCTCATTTTTCTGTTTCATTATAGGTGTTGAGTCACAGTTAATGCAACGGAAACTGCTGTTTCTACTACTCCTGTTTGCAAGTGTTCGTTTTGTCTCTCATTATTCATCCAAACTAACGACTAAGCGAAATACATATTCGGTAGCACTATAATTTGTGGACGAACCACTCAGATATAAGATGACGTCTCGAATTGTTGGCGGGAATTTTGTTTGCCCACTCGGATAAATTATAGCTGATGTTAATACATGATGAAAACCCAAAATTCAATTCCTTACCTTAACCTTCGGCTGTAAATCATAATTTTATGTCCCCACACTAGTTTATAAGCCTAATTAAGTCGTAGTTAATAGGCGGACACGCTCAAGGTCAGTCTAGAGTTGCCCAAAGGTCGTCCATAAATAATAGTCCTGTCACATACTCCTTAAATACTTTCTTGTTCGATTTCCCATTCCTACGATTTCATTAACGGGATATGTCGACAGAATAAACAAGATATGTATCTCATTTGCATCAGTGTTATCATGCGAAGGCAGATCTCGAGCCAGAAAACGTGAATGTTTATTAATTAATATCTAGCCTTGATGGAATCACCACGCTCTCTGACCGGAATGATATCACACCCACGGAATATGTGTTCAATTAAATACATTGGCGGGTTTTTCGTCATTTCCTTATTTACATAGGCGCTGATGAATATGTTAAGTCATGGCCTATTTCGGTATTATTTCTAACACAATTACAGACGTTACATCAAAACTGTAGACTTGTTACGATTTGAGTGCTTCAATTATAGTATCATTCGTGAAGATCTCAACACAGTCCACGCTAACTCATCTTATCATGATAATCAGCAAAATGATATTCAGCGATTCTGGTGAACACATTTCGGGCTGGGTAGAATGTAATATATTCAATGAATAGGCAAAATGTTGCGTGAGATGACCATGCCTTCATGTCCGAGACATGATATCTCGATCACTTGTCCGTGCATTGGCATTCCACGTTCTCGTGACTGCAGGGCGTTTTGAAAGTTGTAACTCATGGTAGTGTAGACCCCTTAAAAGTGACAAGAGTATGGAACGTTCTCGTCACTCCGAAGTATTTTGTTTGTGATCACATAAAACATGGATAAACCATACCCGCTATTTCCTATTGGTGAGTAGACATGGAAATCCTCGACTAGATGCTCATCATAAATCTACAAATTATCCAACTTTGAAGACATTTTGTCCTAACGCCTTTTCTTGTCACCACCCACGTATTCGGTCAGTCCCAAACCCTAAATGAATACGAGAAGCTGTTCACTGAACCACCCTAAATAGGTTTTATCTTGATTGATGAGATCCAGTAACCAATGTTAACCTATCAGGTGTTTTTCAAACGTTCGTTAATTCTTACTCGTTTGTTTAGCAGAGAACTTCTTCGAAAAGCTGACTGCCGATAAATTCTCATTACAGATTGTTAATACATGACGAATAACTTGATTGAATAAAACCTAGTGTTTTACTGAAATGAAGCAATTTGGAACCAACTCCAAATAAACACTGTGAAACCAGATAAACAGATATTGTCGTGAGGAATCGGGCAAAATAAAGTCTTCTGTCTCCAACATCTTCAATTCAGAATACACCCGTTTTTCTCCGCAGGTGTCTTGAAGAGTAACACATTTTAACAATGCTGCAAACTTCAAAGAGAAGCTAACAGTCAAAATATTAAGCTGACACTTCTGGAATGTCTCGTTTGTTTTAACATGTTTGAACAGACGGCAACAAACTGGCTTTCGATTATGTAAAATTTAAAGTAGTCTTTGTGTAATACGATACGAACTATTCATAAGACCTACATAATTTTTTACCTGAAATGTACTTGATGGCAAAAGACTTATGTGTCCTTATTCTATATGACCTAAAATCAAATTTTTGAGTCAAATTTGAACTAGAAGTCAACTTGTCCGGTGAAAGTTTTCGCCTTGATAGTTTTATTATGCATGCTCGAAATCTCATCATAATTGTTTTCCACCTTTCTGAAAGAACTAACATACTTTTAAATATATTCAGAAATAATTCGCTAATTTATTACTTAGACCTGGGTCCAGATCTTGCGAACAACACTTTCAAGTACAGGATATATAACTGCAGGGTATAAAAGACTTGAAGGCGACCTCAAAATAACCCCTCAACATCCTGAAAATGTTAGAGCATATATGAAACACACATTTAGGTAGCGTTTTGATACACACACGCATGCGAGAGGGTATAAAGAGAAGGTAAAAGTAAAACGTAAGAAGTAGAATCGTTGGCAGATATTCTACTCTTTTCAAGTAATCGAGTACCGGGACTTTATTTAGGGACACAAATAACCTTGACGAAGTCCTCCAAAAGGCGATTTAACTTTGAAAACACAGATTATCATCTCACCTTAATTTACCAATGCAGTTTATTATTTCCTCACATTTCAACGACCTCTATCTCCACTAGAACAAACTTTTGGCATATTTAAAAGCTTGTTATATGGAGGTCCTGAAGATGCTACAAGTATTCAACGCTTTAACCAGTAACACTTACCAATATAATTCGTACCCACCAAGTGAAATTAAAAGACAGAAGCGAGGATGTTCGAAAATATATTTGACAGGCTACCAATATATCGTGGATCAACTGATCTAATCTGGCTAGCGATTGCAGGGGATTTTGAATACGGCGTTCCCACTCATGATCTAGTGCGGATGCCTGACCGAGTGCCTTAGGCTCGGTGAGTCGATTAAAACTGATGTGGTCAACATCCAATGTCGGAACCTCACAGAGCTATTTATTTTGGGGATTTATTTACCGCTACGGTCCATTTAATTCGGTTCACAGTTCACCCAATCGTCTGAACACTCATATTTTTCCTATGACGTCACAAAATGAGGGGCAGAACAGCAAATAAACGGAATTATTTTCCCAAAGTTTCATAAATGAAGAATGTCGATCACCTTTTACAGCATTTTTGGAAGAAGTATTGTGTATACAAACATTTGTTTGTATTCACTGTCCCAGTCGGTTTTGACAATAGTGGCAATCTAAATGTGCAATGCGCCTTCCGTTGGTTATCTCAGTAATAGTTGATGTAGTAGTTTCATCTGCACTTAATATAAAAGAAGTTGATGTGGATGGAAATTACTATGTGCAGTGGGGAGATAACTTGGCCCTTACCTGTGCACAGGATACTCCGCCATTCGGAAAAGCTAGTATTGATTGGTTTCTCCCTTCACAACTAAACAGACCTGTTGGATATGGAAATAAAGCTCATGTTTACCGACAAGATCAGTTGGATTCTATGGTATTGGTTTTAGTTGTCCGATCTGTGATTACAGATGATTCCGGAACGTATGTTTATTTCGCGTATTGTTTTTTCTAACACTTCGTTAAATCAACAGTAGTTTATAAACTAAACTAAAACCCTAATTTTTGTAAATAATGAAACGTTAGTAACTACTCTGTAGCTTTTGGCTCTGAATATAATAGGAAGTGTTGGTACAATAACAATAATGATAGGATACGCATAGGAGCCTGAATGTATATTTTCTCACTGTAAGAGAACTCACTCTTCATCATTAAATCAGGTGTGCTATATTAATCACTGAAACCTATATCGGTGCGGGGATCTGACTTTTACTTGAAAATTTCAATGGATGATATTCGATTAATGTGCTATGATAGAGATCTGTATTTGGTCATTTGTTTCCGAACTTGTTCCAGGTTTTGGAAATTTATGAGAATATCCTTCTCAATTATCGGTTATTAATATGAAAGAAAACACGTAAGTCGTTTATGGATAAATCAACAGTTACTTGAATTCCATGTTGCAAACGAGATATTATATGCCTACTACATATTAGAATCGGAAAAAGCAATGAGAATAACCCACTAGACATATAAAACTTTGGGAGCTTCTTATCTATATTTTACTGTTAGTTTAAAGTCAGTGTTGGCATGGGCCTGCACATTATTCTTTTAAACAAGAGGTATGGGCACATTATTATTAATGTTGATTTGAAACAAGATTGTAGATCACTCACGTAGATGATCTATGCCGAATAATTGGGGTCGTACTCGAGTTAGACAGGAATAGTGTGATCATCAGTCAAGTACGAAGCCACACCTCGTAGTCAGCACCCAACATGGTTTACCCGTTCGTCGTCTTAAGGTACTATTGCTGCCTTGAAGACCGTATAACACAAAGAACGTTATTACAAAATATATTAGTTAGAGTAGGTACAAGTAAAACTGTGACCACCACTTCATGGGCCAGTCCATGGAGTATGATTTACTGATGCGCGTTGGTTGTCTCCGACTTTGACGGGATCGATAAACTGTTCGAAATTCAGTGACCCAACTTCCGGATGATTTAATTAAGGCTCAGTGAAATTTTACCGACCTTATAAGATGTCTTAATCAGTGTTCATCTTCAGTCTTCGTCTGTGGGATTATTTATCCACTACACATGAAGTTTTTAAAGCTTTTATTGGATACATATACGTACGTAAATTAACTGGGTTAAACTTATTTTTGTAAATACGAAGTTTTTATTTGACCTTATTAAGTAATTCCTCGTAACAGTGCAGAAAGTAACGGTAAAATATGGTTACTAAGCATGCTACAGTCTACTAGTTTCCACAAATACGATGACATAATTTTTCGTAAAGCGATTTGCAATCTATTTTGCTTGCAATCTCAACATTTTCTGTCTTAATCACGAGCAACATATCAAGTAACTTATTGAGAGATTATAAACACTGCTTTTGCATAGGAACAATTGATTTTACCTGCTAAGTAACCGTATTTTAATCAACAGTCTAGATCAATTGGGGTTTGAATTATGTTAATTTGTTTCAAAAGTTTTCACCGAAGTAAAATTTAATTTTGAAACATATAATTCCACTCAAGATCCAACTTAAAAGAATTGATTTTGTAGTTTAATTCCTAAACCATGTACAAACTTACATTTGTATACTACAGATGTTTATGACAACCAAGTTCCATGCTTACAATGACAGCGAATTCATTATATAGAACGATATATATATATATAATTCGTGAAAAGTTCATCTAACTTGTCTTGTGGAGTCTCGATGGTCTTGTGATTCATAGTTAGGTGTCTTGCAAAAAATAGTTCTACGCAGATTCACCCATTAAACAATATGTATAGTGTGAGGTTTGCAATTCTGGTGTTTGGATTAGATAGTAAAAACTGGTTTAGTGTGAGCACTGACAAAACATATGAACTGTTTTCAACTAAAATGTTTCTTTTGTATGTTATGTACTGTTGATGAAAGGCAATGGCTAGTTTCGTAGTAAATTCCTTTTTTATTATGCAACACGTCACAAAATAATGTTTAGTAGTCTTGACAAATATTATTTTGCTATCTTTCGGTGATCTACTATATGTTCCACAGTCATGATGCAATCTAGATTGAGGTCAAGCTGTAGGTTTTTATTATGCTTTGTTCGACGGGGTTAGACCGGTTTCATCTACCTAGTGCTTTAAGATGACTGATTACTGTTTATAATTCGTGATCAAAAATTTTATATTTATAACTTACTATCTAAGGTATGTTTGCCGTACAGGAAGACAGGAGGGAAATCAGTTTATTGAAATGGGTCGTAAAAGTGTCAATGTCATAGTAAGGAAGAGCATCGTGGCTACAGACTGTCCGAGAGATCAATGGATTCCTGTATTAGAAGAGAATACAAATTGTTGGGGCAACGGTACAGACTGTGGGGGACCTACTGCTACGGTTCGATGCATAATCGAGGCCTTTCCTGCACCTACAATTCACTGGCGTTTCAAAGGTGTTCAGCTAACTACAGGTACTAAATATATCATAACAACTTTTGGGATAACAATTATCAACCCAACAACTGAAGATTCTGGTATATATACGGTGATTGCCAGACAACCACAACAAACTGCTGTCTTCGATTTGCAAATTTCTGCATTCAGGTACTGTCAGATTTTGCTGGTAAAAGAATAAATGATCACTAAGATGAGTTCAATAACCCTTTTATGTACAATCGTCCTTTCTAATCCAAAAGATTGAAAAACGGCTGTTTTCCTGTATCACTTCTTTGTGGAGTAAAAAGGTTCACACATTAGCATAGTAAATAAAGAGAGCAAACAAATAGTGTATCATTCAAATAACTAATTCGAAACGAATAACTATCTACTAACTGTCATACTCGTTTAATCACAATATACTTATGGGTCACCCAGTAATAACTAATACCCACTTGTTATGTAACAGGTTTGATGATCAGGTTTGCTTTCAGTAAATCAACATCATCGTTCAATACATTCCGTCTGAAGTGACTGGAAAGAGACTTGGGCTCTGAAAAATGATAAATTGAAAGGTCTAAACATTTCGTGTACATTAGACAGTTTGAAGTTTTTCGAAAACGTACTTTTCTCCCTTGATATTTGTAAGTTTATTTTTAATTTTAAAAAATAAACTGACATGGTTCTAAGTATATGCATTTAACTCAATTATATGCTTGACACGTTCACAACCTTATTTTGTACTGTTCACAGTTGTCCAACTTTCCAGATTGGGAAGATAGCATCTATTGCTTGATAGGATTGTAGTTTACAAGATACCTATTCAATAGAATTAACTACAATAACTAAAGAAAGCCAAGAGCGTTTTTAAGAAAGACGTATATTTAGAAAATTTTACGTAGAAGTACAAGGTTTGCGCGCAAGCCGTTTATCTATTATTCACTATGAACACGAGATATATATGTATTTGTATGTATGATAAAACGGTTGTGCAACAATAGGAGATGATGGTCCTGATAACTAGCTAGTTTTATCACTGGGACAGATGCGAGATACGCGTGTGTACAGTTCCTGGCCGACATGGTTGTCAGTAGACAACAATTTACCGACACAATTACGAGCATTTCGCACACTGTGAAACCCAGAGCAGAGATAACTAGTGTAATCAATTTATAATATTAGATGGTTTCGTAATACTTTCTATTAGCGGTTGTTTATTTTTGCTTGGTAGCTAACCAGATCTTACTTTCATTGGCAACATGTTAGCCTGGATAGGAAAGCAGATTTTTGAGGCCCATAATTATAAAAAAATTATGGGTGTCATTGAAAGTCGACTAATTTATCTGAAGATATTTTCTGAGCCATGATGATATTTATCTATTCAGACTTATATCTCATACTTCTACAACTGAGTTACCAGGTTACTCATAATTTTCTCAGAAATTGTTAAGTTTAAAGATATTATTTGCCTGAAGGACGATGAGAACAGGCATCTCTCAATACGTCCAGCATGGAAAAAGTTCGAAGTGTTAAAATCTCCAGTCATTATCTAATCTTTTTTTTTCGGAAACAATATTCGAACTTCTTTTAAAGTGAAATATTCTAGTTAGAAATAAGGACTGACTCCGTTCTTGTATTTTCAACAATACAAGTTTATTTCATTCATTGAATGATGTAAATACTCTCATTTTTTTCAAAATTATTATTAGCCGTCCACGTATAACTTCGGGTCCATCAATCGTTAGGACATACAACAATACTTTTGTATCTGGCAGAGAAGCATATCTTCAGTGTTTAGCGTCTGGTCAGCCCCCACCTACTATCCATTGGTATCATGAACGAGACCCGCAAACAGAATTACAGAAAGCAAATCCTAAAAGGTTTTCAGTGAATACAAATTTTCGTGTTGGTCTACTGTGGATTTCAGAGGTATCTTATCCTGAGGTAAATTGATTCTATTTATTTGGTATTACCATCATTTAAAACTTAAAAAAACAACTTATGAGGTTTCATACAAAATGTTGTGAAACTATACTGACTATAATGTGAAATACCCTATTTTAAGCTTCAAAATGGGGTAAAACAGCCTTAGATAAACCATTGAGTACTATACTCATCGATACGATGTAGAAGTAATGAACTTAGAAGAACATTGATATGGGATTTTCCGGTCAGATAACTTGATGGATGACATTTTATTTTCAAAGTTTACGGTGTTTTGAAAACAAAGCTCAAGTGGTGACGAAGCTGATGGGTCTCTTTCAAGTAGTTCGACATCATCCCCTAAGGACTTGAAGTTAGTTTAATTGCTTAAAAAAGTGTTTTGAGTTATTTATTTTAGTTTGGCTATCAAAACCATCCATCTGCGAGAACATCAAGCTAATAAATCCCAATAATTTAGGTTGAACAAATGAAACTGTAAGTGTCGCAAATGTTGTTCTTCTGATCTTTTTAATGGAGAACGTTGCAAAGCTTAGAATATGATACATATAAATTCCATCTTTAAATTTTTACAATTATTGGTTATGACATTTGAAATAATAGTTAACTTTTTTAAAATTCTTCACTTTAAGTTGTGTTTGAACACAATAATTAATGTAGCTCGTATATTAAACATCAACAGCATTGCATAGAAATATATTTTTGTTTGCATAATATTTATACAATTCACTGAAGATAATCACAATAATCATTATGTTTCCTCATAATACATAGGATTCAGGCATCTATATATGCCGAGCTGTTATTCTTGTTCCTGCAACGTATTCTGGTTCCACTTTAGTGACAATAACTGAAGCTCAGATACCTATCGAAGTTACACTTCCTCCCACATTAATACCACTCACAACTATGCATAGTTACGTAGAACTGGGTAAGTATTTGTGTTCCTTAGCTTCCATACAGAAAATATTCTTGATTTATATATTTTACATTAATAAGGCTGATGAATGAGTTAAAAATGTTAATTATTTTTAAGCTTGGATTGTTTACGATAGGACCAACAAGATACAAAGATTTTACTGAACCTGGAGTTAATTTACAGAAAAATGATATGGAAATGAAGTTATAAAATACATACAGAACATAGAAACATTTAGATGTTTCTCCGGTGTTTTTTTCTTTTCTGAGCTCGGTAGTTTGATTGTAAAGCTTTTGTTGTTGTTCTGGATAATATAGTCGCCGCTGATTATGTTATCCAGAATGGCAATGAAAGCTTCACAATTAAGCCATCAATTTCGGAAAATCCAACACAACCAAAAGCACTGAAATGAGCTACAAATCTTTTCAGTTATTTAAATAAGCATGTGAAAACAAAATACATGATCATTTAGGCTCCTTAAATGATCAAGTTCTCTTACAGATTGAATGATCGTGCTAGAGCTTATTCATAGTCAGTAATATTATTTAGAAAATGTTAATTGCTTTTTCTATATATCAGTATGTCTAATGCATTTTTTGAAAAATATTTGTTATCAAATAAAAGTGGTCAAAGAACGATTCCTCAAAAACAAAGTACTCAAATTAATAAATATTACTACTGTTAATACGTTCAAGATTCAGCTTCAATAAAATTTGTAAACGAATTTTATATAAAATTCATATTAAAATTCAAAACTCAAATACAAACAAAGAAATTACAAAATATTTTTTGTTCTTATTCTATCCCTTACCTAATTAGTAGTATTTTATATCTACAAAAGGTTAATCTCTCAGTATTTTGCACAAGAATTGAAGCTTTTAAAGACTTTAAAGTGTAGAGTAAGCAGTTCAACTAGTGTTTTTATGTTGCTATGTTGTCTCAATAAAATAAGAAAATTTAAAATCTTATCGTTGTCTACATGTCGTAAACTTACTTACGCCTGTTACTCCTCGTGAAGGAGCATAGGCCACTTACCAGCATTCGCCATCCAACCCTGTCCTGAGCAATCCCTTCCAGCTCTTTCCAATTGTTATTCATTTTTTCATGTCTGCTTCTATTTCCCGACGTAATGTATTCTGGGGTCGCTAACCCCATGCCCAACCCTCCTCCTTTACCCCGGGCTTGGGACCGGCAGTAACTCTGGAAGAGCTATAGGCGGAGTTACATGTCGTAAAGTTCTATATAACTTATTTTCTTTTTCTAAATAATAATCTCGTGTTCAAAGTGACATAATAAAAAATATTTTAAGAATAATGACTTGGCGACCAGTGAAAACTGAAAAGACACAAATATTTTTTTAAAAATATCAAGGCTAATTCATCAGTTGTATTGTTCACGTTTAGGGAATTTATGTATTTCATTGTCTAAATTAGAAAACTCAAAGTAATGACATAATCAATCAAGCTGGATACAGATGTAAGACTAGTGTTTACTTCCTGATTAGATTGGCTTTTCGAAGTCTTTTTTTATTGGATTCATTTCTACTTCATTTACATGCAGGTATGTTAAAAAATCTAATGTTCACTTAAAGCTACTTTGAAGTTTAATTTGATATCATAGTGAGCAATCTCATCTTCACGTATTCAGAAATAACCTTGTTTGAATTCTGAGGTTGACTATTTCCGTCAAGTCTCTTTTAGTCTAAAACTTATAAAGCGCTTTCTCTTTCAAAAATATTAGGAGGTACTGCTACCGTGCAATGCCGAGTACGTGCTACAACGCCATTGGAATTATATTTCAAGCGTTTTAATTCAAGCACATCTTACATAAGCGGTGTCCAACCTGGTGATAAACGTATTCGTGTGTGGAGAGAAAATGATGTGAATGATCCATTGAATCATGACTTATTTTTAACAATTAAAAATACGACGTGAGTATTTACTTGAAAAAAGTTAATTTTTGTATTTATTCACAAAATATTCGATTAATACTTGTGTGAATTTGTATTTTCTACACTTTTGATATTCATTCTCTTTTGAACAGATGCTTTGATGTTAATAACATGTACAGTGGATTGTCATTTGGCTAGTGAGACCTGTAGGTCATTCTTCAAGTCAAAGTTTCCGCTTCAGATTTTTACCAGTGAATCTGTTTATATATAGTGTGGTCCATAAATGAGGCATCCTTTTTATGTACTTAAGGAAGCCCTTATAATCTTCTAGTGATAGAACAAGATAATCTGTAATGTTTGAACAGGTCATCATTGTTGACCTATTCATCTTTCATCGTAGGATTTTCTATTTACTTTTTTCTGCAGTATCTTCTCCAAAAGTTTCTTCAAAAACTAGTCTGTGTATGATAGTATGTAAGATAATTTTGTAATATAAACCTTACGATCAAATGAATATGCACTCTTAGCCAAGAGTGTTAGAAATAGAGTTTCCAACAACTTTTTAGCAATTGTCTACAATATGAATTCAAAATGAATGTAGATAGCTATGATCTGTCGATATTTACAAATATCTATTCTAATATTTTATTTTTTAAGAAGTAAACTTTCTTTTCTTTGAATAATTCACATTAGATAGTTTCCATTAAAATGAATAGCTGATTTTTCACGTAATTCTCTCTGATGTTTGAGATTGATTTCATTTGATGTGCACCATGATTAATAATCATATTATGGTAAGTTCTGCTTGAAGCCAATGTAAACTCAATAGTAAACTGGTATATTAGGTATAAGTATCGAATATGAACAAAATATTTATTGTTTCCTCTGAAACAATCATAAAAAGTTTTAAGAGCATAATCATACTACATCGTTAAGAAATGAATGCTGTCAAGTCACTATATGTAAATGTTACGTCATCTACCTAATTACTGCAGAATACGACGGTACACAACTATCGGCACTCGAACGTGTAGAACACCACAGTTGCAAATCAAAAGACGGAGGAAACAGGGGGAGCGATTATTGCTTATGAGTCAAAAATGTACAGAAAAACAGTGGTATATATTGTTTTTAGTATAGGCTATAACATCATTATAATCCAGCCAATCAGCAAGTAGGAAATTTATACGATTCTTCAATCATAGTATGCGACGTCGATATTATATAGGGTTCTATCAGGTTCTGATTGAATGGAATCTCTTTGGCTCCTTTAGTGTCTTCAGAGGCTTCGTCGTGCTTTTGGAGGCGTCCCAAATCAGTCTACAAACCAAAACTATTCCAGATTTTTTAGTTACATTCCATGTGATCTAGTTTCAATTTTAACTTCTCTAAATTCTAACCCCATTAATGATGCGACTTAAAGTATTTATATTTTTTTAATTAGTTTAGACGATACATGGAACTATAGTTGTCATGCAGTTAATCAAGGTAATTCTTCTTGGTGGAATACAACAATTCAAGTGATGCAAACACCCCAAATCTTGTTACATTCAACTTTAAATACAGATAGTGAACTAAGTGGATTAAGATTTGGTTGGCGGTATCAAGGAACCAATGTAACTTGTATATCACGTGGAATGCCACATCCAACATGGTACGTTTGTTTTACTGGTGATTACTGAGAGAAGTCATCCAATTTTAGTCTTCGTGAATGAATTATTTGGAATATTATCCAAAAAACCGATTTTATTCTAATAACTTGATGGTTTTTTTATAGACAATGAGGAATGGTAGAGTATTTTAAGTATTACATATTACTTCAAAGATATATACTGTCAGCATTTTAATTTTTTACATCTCCATTCAGTAGTTTAGAGTGTTGTGCTTACTATAGTAACTGAAAATTTTGAGTTAAATCCCATGTGGAATTAATAACAGACAATTCTGAAACTCTCGGAATCCCGGGAAAATGCTTTACGTATATTAGTTTGTGAAGCAATTTACTTTTAAAACATTCATTCCAGCAAACACTTGTATAAATTGATTTTTCTATTATTTCATGCTTTAACTGAGAGATTTTATAATAATCACTACTTTTCAATGTTAAGATAATCAACCATTCACTATGACTCATCATTCAGAAGTGATGATCCTACTAAATAGTTTTCATTGTGAAAAACTGATCTGATCAGCATTAGTCGATAATTTGCTTTTATCATACTTTTTATTTCCAAGTTAATCAGGTTAATTTATGTAATAAAACTTGAATTCAATAATTGTTAATTTAAAATGTTACAAATTATTATAAAATGTTTCCCAAATTGACTGTTGAAATTCAATATTGTAATGGTTAAAGCTTACCCATTGAAATATTGTCTATTGTTGTCAACAGGAGCATCAACACGCATGAATTGATCAAGATTTACATATGACCAATCAATAAACGGTAATCACTTCTTCAGAGCATATATATATATATATATATTAACATTTTGGACAGTGATCGTGAGAACTAGTAATATAATCGTCTATCTTGATATTTTATTGTCAAATTGGCCCAGTACACTTTCGTTATGTCAAAACATCTTACACATAACATTTCATTGTTTGAACTTACGTTGGAGTTTTTAGGTTTCGTCTGAGTCTAAAATTTAATGATTGATCTGAAATGAAAATTTAGTTGATGATTATGTTGTTCAATTCAATTTAGGTTTTATCCAGTTAACTTTATTTTAAACGAATATTCGTGAATCTATGTTGTGCTTTGGTTTTGATCACCGCTTAATTTCATAAAAAGAATTGCCACTTTATAATTTAGACATGATAACTAGACAACTGCAATTATTTCATTCACATATAGAGAATACAATACACCAAACTACAGAACTTTCTTGTAATTCTTAGTATTTCGTTATAATTACTAATCAGTGTATTTTTTCAAATTTAGGACTTGGTATCGTCGTGGTGAGCAAATATTAAATGGACAAAATTCGACATTTGTAATAATTAGTTATGATTATTGGGATCATAGTCAATCATGGCTCCAAATTACACCTTGTTTATACACGGAACATTTCATATATGATGATTATGTATGCAAGGCGACAAATATCAAAGGGACAAACGAGAGTAAGGTGAGCTTTCGACGGGCTTCCGTTCCTGGACAACCGAGAGTAAGTTTTACTTTGCTTAACTATTCATAAATTATATTAAATAATATTACTTTGCCTCTTCTCTCGCTGTGTGGATATAGGGTATGTCATCTTGAATTAATATATATCTTTGTATTAGAAGGGGCTTGTGTCCAGTTTCAGGTTATGACAAATTAACTAACTATATGGTTCGAATTATCACTTGTATAAAAAAATATTATATTGATTTTACCCAAAACTGTGTTGAACTCAAGAATTTAATCGATATACAAAAAAGTATCCATTTTTCAACTGTTATCTGAAATCAAGTTCACATACAGTTCTTTCAGTTTACAACGTCAATTTGTTGCCATTTTAATAAAAAATTCAGTCCATCAATATTAAGTGATAATTTTTCCCTTGTTCCTTAAGTATTTACATTAGGATTGTGTGAAGAAATTTCACAACCTTCAACTTATAATTTAGGTTTTTTTAATCTTGACTGTGCTTCAATTATCTGGGATTTTCTTAGCCGAAAGTGAAGAGTAATATAATACCAGAAAAGTGCTGAACAATCACTTCGTTCTACAATGGGACTCTGTAGTGCTCATGGTTACGACGTTACGTTAAATCTAACGTAAGGCCCTCAGCTTTCATGATGAATGCCTCATCCTTGTAATGTTAGTTTAGAGTCAAATGATCCACATGTCATGGAGATCAAATTATGTAATGTCATATCGTTTTTGAAAAAAGATTTAATTAGATTTTGAAATTCTATATGCTTATTCTATGTGTTCATTTGATAGTAAAATCAATATGAATTCTGCTTTGATAATTAGGTGTGTTAATAAATAAACATAGTTTAATTCAAAAACTCCTTTTGCTTTTTTTCGACTTAGTTAGAAAGCTATTCAGTCACACAGTCAACGATATTTTTTAATGTTAGTCCTCCTATTAACACTGGAGGTATGGCGACTTTAGCATACGAATTAACTTATAGAGCTTTTGGTGGGCCTGAAGGATGGTATGGCCCTGTTACATATCCATTAGATGGGTCAAGAAGTTCTGGTAAGCCAAAGTTCGAATTGACTGGTTTACTTGGTGATACTAATTATCAGCTAAAGTTATTGGCACGTAGCATTGTTGGACAAGGTATACCGTACAGTTTTTCAATCACCACGGCTTCTAGTACTCGTCCAGGTCCTGTCGAGGTATGTTGTACAAACAATTCAGTGTTATGTATTTGATTACTTTGCATTTTATACCGTTTCTGAATTCGTTTTTAAGGCTGATTTTAATGTTTTTCTCCTAGAATTTGCACAATGGAATTTAAGATAAATGCGGTACTTAAAAAAGTCTTACCTATGTCTCATTGCAATCATGTGCCGATCAGTGTCAGATCACCCCTGGACGCCCGGAAGCAGTGCACGGCCATTCCGTTCTAGGATGGGGTTACAGAGCAGCGTACATCCACGACCCTGCACGTAGGATTCGAACCTGAAACCTTCGGTCTCGCGCGAGAACGTCTAACGCCCATAGTGTTAATGTCTAACTTTAACCAATACACGATGTTGCACGACCATCTTCCATTGTCTTTAGTGGGTAATTGCCTTACACTCGACACATTTGAACTCCGCTTGTCATGGCTTCTTACTGTAACTCCAAGGATTACCTATCGAAGCTAGTTACTAGTGAGCACATGATAATTTTCAGTATATGGTTGTAGATTGTTGAACGTCATTTAAGTCACGAAGTGATCGTCACAACAACATACTGAAAGATATCAGAACAATACTAACATGTTGATGTCAGAATAATGCATTATATTTTCAGCCATGAATATTTCAATTATTAATAATTATAAGTGATGAAATTGAAATTATTATTACTTAAGTAAGAGATATGTACAAATACTTGGGCAAATCTTTTGTTCACTCTAATTTCTCTAGAACTTTATACAATAATAACTCTACTATGCAAGGCTGTCAACCGCTATATAGATTAAACACTGACTAGTCAATAACCTTATTCTTAATAGCTTGTTTTTGATTAAAATAGTGATTGTTTCATAATCTCAATAAAAACTTAACAATCTTCACAATTCCATACTGAGATTTCGTCTGTGTTTTATATCAGCTGTGACCGAACTATCTATAATCAATAACAAGTTTTGTTAAATCTATGGAAGTGTTCAACTATACGACCGAGGTTCGGAACAACTACCTATCTAACGTACTCTTGTATTATTACAAAATATATGTAAGTTGGCTACAAAACTCAACTCGTAAAACATACGTTGTTTTGTTAATGTGTCTGTACCTATGGAAAAGAAAAGGATTCCTCAGATAACTGCATGAAGGTTACTTACAGAGTCCTATAGCGTAAATGACAATTGTTAGCTGTATTTAAAGTTAACTCTGGCTATCAACCATTGAAGGGAGACTAAAAGTACAAAAATGTGAAAGCTGTCACGTTTTAATCAAGACTTAAAAGATCCACAAATTTGGTAGTAACTGCTACAAAATTTGAAGAAAACAAATGTTACTAGTTTATGTAAAAACTCAAGAATACTACAAGACTCCAACTAAACGTTACATTTTTTACTCAAAAGTTGTTAAAAATGAAATGGGTTACTGCATAGTACCAAGTAGCATAGACTATTAAACAAATGGAAGTGGAATGATGATATAGAATAAAAACGAACTTAACAAACTCAATAAATTTCAAGATACTTGCCATAGTGATTGACATAAGTGATAGCTTCTTGTCCATGTTTCTTATTTACAAGTTGATTGTCTCTAGCACAGATTTTACTATGTTTAATACCTAGGTGAGTCAATTAAGTTGTGAAAATCGGGTCACATCTTTTCATAATGTTTAAGTGAATGAACTGAACAGTTTAGAAGATCTGTATATATGAGGAAGGAAGTTGATATTCTAGGTAAGAATATGTTATTCTGAGTAGCTAGTTAATAGGATTTTCATCGCTATCAATCAGAAGTGAAGTTTTCAAGATCTCGGCATTATACACGTATCTAAAAATAACAGAAATTGTAGCAATATTCAAAGTGAAAGAGAAGTTAAATTTTATGAACTACAATTGAAATAGAACGCACATTTGTCAAAAATTATTTATAGAAATTGGTGCTTTGTAAGTATCATACCATTAAAACTTGAAATGTCCCTAGATGACATTTTTAGTTCTAAACAATTCGACGTATGCCGTTAATATCTTATTACCAAGTACTAAAAAAGGTAACAAGTGAAATTTATCGGACATTTTTTTGAACTGATGTTCCATATTCATGAAGTTCAAAGAATCATAAAGATAAATGGATAAGTGTAAAGAAGAAATTGTTAAGTTATCTTTATTTCTTGCAACATAAAATGTTGTTATTATCATAGACATCGTTTGAGGCAAATTAGTCTGAAACTAGATGAACATTTTGTAAATTAATCTGATAAAGAAAATTAACTAAATCTGGTTCCTACAAAACTATTTTAATGATCATATTTTTTATTAAAGGAATTAAATCCTTAGTCTAATAACTAACAAACTCAAGTAGTTTATTAAAGATTAAATGCCTATTTTTAAATTATTATTGAGTCAAGAGTATTTAATTTTAATAGCAGTACACTTAAACAATATTGTTCAGTGAGTATGAAACTTCGTTAATCTTCTATGTAGAGGTAAATCTTATTGTAAGTTTTTTTTATACATTGTTATCTAAATTTATGTTAACAGGAAATTGAGTGTTTTTTTATGTTTACCATTTTTTTCTACTTTTATATATTTTAATTACTCAGGTTATTCACTCAGCAACTGGAATTTATCCATATGGACATGTAATAAATTGGATTCCACCAATGAGTGGTGGCTCTCCTATTCTGGGCTATAGAATTCGCGTTCGATCGGTCGACAATGACTTGAATTTAATTAGTATGGTAGAAAATATTTCACCGTCTAGCTCGTGGAAAGTGTATACACCATCGTTCAATAATCCTTATATGAATTATTACCATTTGGCTCCATTGAAACCAGATCAAACATATCAAGTATGTGTAACAGTTATGTGAACCAATGTAAATCAATCATAGGAAATTACATCTCTTGTTATGAAATCAAGAATTAATAGTTAATGCAACGACTATAGGAAAATGTTGATGATGTGTTTTTAATAACTAATTTAACGTTTTACTGATTTTATAAATGCCTACTTAAATGTAACTTTCAGTAGGCAAATATTTTATCGTAAACATTTTGCCTACATGGGTACTTTCTTCGTACTCTTTTTAACATGATCTGTGAAGAGGATTCGGTTTCTCTAAGTATTTATTATTATTATTATTATTATTATTATTATTATTATTATTATTATTTTGTTTGTAACAGAGAACAAGATAAACATCAAGCGGGTGGATGATAGTAAATTTTCCACAGCACAGATAACTATTTTGAAGTTGAGTGCTTATCCGAATTATTTGTTCATGAATCTCAACCAAATAGTATTGATCCATTGTCTGTTACAGATGTAATAATTACATAAGTTCGATTACCATTCGTATTAACTCTCCGCTTTTTCTTTTGAAAACGTTTTCCAAATCTGTAATAATAATTATTATTATTACTATTATTAATACTGATAATCCACTATTTTCGTCGCTTTTTCTATTCATCCTGTTATTTTCAACTCGTAGTTCTAACATAGTATGCCAACCTAAATGAACGCACATCTGTACCAGGCTCTATGCATGGGATGTCTGTCTGAAGATGTAGTTTCAAATTTTTACTATCATTATAAGAAGAGAAGTCAATTAAATAAGTTTGTGTTAACACTTCTTTTGTCCCTTTCTCTATATCGCTAATCTTAATAAGACAGTTTATGTTTAAAAATAATTAACGATAGATTCTTCACAAAAAACACTTATCTAAAATAATTATTACTGATGCTTTGTATATTTCTTGAAGACCATACGTAATTAAAACTGAAATGGTGAATATTTTTAACGCTGGTGGATGATTTTGATATAGTTTCCTTCTCTGAGATGGATGGTTTGGTTACGACTATCGTACACATTCCAAAAGTTGATCAGTAGACGTACTGGTTTATGTAATATTATCCCTACTTTTTTTATTTTTTAATTAATATTTTCCAACTACAATGACATTTTTATTTTGAAAATAAGAATATCATAGAATATTCTTCGTTACTATTACTTTTTCTTAAACATTTGCTCATTCGATTTAGTTTAGTTATTATAAATTGATCTAAATTGACCTAATTATTGAACTAGTTCAAGTGAAATTCACTAGTCAATAGATAATGTTCTGTATGAGTTTTTTGCAAATCCGATAAAAAATTCATTATGAAGCTGTCAAATTTTCGTGGAATAGTTTTTTGCTTATCCTTTTATTCGGATTGTATAAAAAAATATGTTTATTACTTGTCATTGTTTAAGTGACCATTAATATAAGCATTGATCAATGATCACCAATAATTAGCAGTCCATCTAAAGAAGTCTTTGTAGAACAAAAACGCTCAAAATGGAAATTCTTCATTTTACTAGAGGAAACAACTTGAAAAGCATAGTACAGTTAAAAGTGTTGAAAAAATGAAAAATATAACTGGTTATTAATTACTAACAAAGTTCTGCACGAAGTAGATCATTTATTAAGAATTCTACTTTCATTTTACTTACCAGTCAGAATCAGTTAAAGATAAGTTACTTGAAATTCGGGATTTACTAGTAAAAATTTATGATTCAATAACACTCGGGATTATATATCGATGGATTTAAAAGCTTTACTAGTGAGGAAAAGGTTATTCTTCAGAAGAAAGCACCAAATGTTATATACATGTATTTTTAGACATCACAAAGGATCATTTTCAACTATCATGAAGTCGTCATGACCCTCAACGTTGAGTTAAGACGAGCATATTGCGTTTTCTTAGATTTGTAGTAACCGTTTAACTGATAGTGTCATGTAACAAAAATAGACTTCAAACACAACTTCATATTAATTAATTTATTTTTTTGTGGGTTAATATTATAAAGTGTTAATTATTTTATAATTTTCTTCATGTTAGTTAATTGTAGAAGCTTATAATTGCCATGGTTACTCTCTAGATGGTGTTGATATTAAACAATATGGTTATTTAAATCGCACACCGACATCAACACCTCAACTTCAACAAATATTTCCCGGTGAAAGATTAAATTATCAAAATTCTGATATATTATTAAATCCTGTTAATTCTTTAATGAATTTCAAACAGTCTGATCTTGTTCCTATATGGTATTTATTTGAGACACCACCAGCTGATGAATCAGACCCTCCATCGCTTATATTCAGCCAAAGTTCATCTATATATAACTCCCATCAAATTATTTTATTACTGGGAATTCATACTTTCATTGCATATATATTCTATTAAGCAATAAGTCACTTGTCATACATTATCCCAGTTGTTTATCAGTTGTGGTAAGGCAACTCAAACTGATGTACATACGTACGAAGTCCTACGTTGTTACTGACTGACTGTTTATCAGTAATTTTTATTCAATATTTTGTATTCAGATAAAACTTTTTTTGTTGAATAATTCTTTGGAATAACTATTTTATGGCAGCTTTTGCATACAGGTAACTAATTTTGGCATTTACAATTTAATTTACGCTTAATATATTATCCTTATTTTGTTTTATTTTCTAATGTATTTATCTTTACTGCATGTATTATATTCAGTACTTTTCTATGACGTTTAATCATTGATTGAAATAAATTTTTATTGCTCAAAAATATTTAATTGAATTTTAATAATTATCACCATGATTTTTCATTGTTTTTTATTCATAATCTCTTGCTGAACAGATGGTTTCTAAGTTGATGGTGTGAATCAATGGTTTGCGTGATTTCCTTACAAGTTCTATAATAATAATAATAATTATTATTATCATCATCATCATTATTTTCATCCCATTTTCCTTGTGTTTTTTTCAATTTTCTCTAATAATAATAATAATAATAATAATTTTCGTCAACGTTATTATTTAGTTCTATTCAATTTGTGTGTATTTGAAATCAGTTAATATCACGAGCAAATTTTGGTTAGACAATAGTTGAATAATAAGGAGCACTAAAGAAACTGTTGACTAAGTACTACTATAAGGTTTGGGATAGGTATCACTTATAGGGGGAATATCTTGAATTGAATAATAGTGGCACTGTCAAGCAATAGGTCTTTAATTTGGTTATCTAAAAGAATCCATTCGCTGTTATATCTAAATGTCCTAGATTCAATCCCTGGAGTGGGGATAGTCCATTCCTAGATCAAAAAAGCTGTTCATCGTTCCTTTTTTAGTAGTTGTTAGTTTTGTAGGCTATTTATTAAGTTCACTATTCTCCAGATCTTCACGGTGTTTATCTTGTTCGGAGTAATTTAGCAAGATTCTAGGTCAGAAAGATATCATTCAGAACTGAAAAAACCAATAGTTATACAAATAAATAGCACTGGGAAATGGGTGTACAAAGCCGTGAATTTATACGAATAAAAACCATTGAATACCGACTTAGCAGTCCAAAGGTTTAACATTCACCGCGAAATATGAAAATCATGAGCTCACTTCTCGGTGGGGTAGTAGATCCTTAATGCTGGAGAGCTTCATTCTAGGGCAGAATAACTATCTAATGCTCCATAGTTGTCTAACTTAGTTGGCACCGCGATATAAAGTATGAAACTCAACAATCTCCACAACACAGCTTAAAGCCATACAAATTGAGTTAGCTAGTCAGCCGGTCACAAACTAGAATGAATGAGAGATGAATATAAATTAATCCAATTAATCAATTTATATTTATCTTCAGGAGAGGAAATTAGCAACTTATTAAACTGCATCGGAATAATAAGAGATGTCAACAGTAGTGAATGACTAAACATAATAAAATTTGAAAAGTATATGATGAATCATGTGGGAGATCTAAATAACACTAGAAATTAAGATTTAGACGAACAGTATGTTCGTTTCAACCGATTTCAAGCTGTGTAACAAAAGTCTCATATTTCATGTAAGTTGTATATAATGAGGAGTCATCAATAAGTAGTCTTAATTTCGTTTGCCCTTAATGGGTACTTCAAAAAGGATGAAATGTACCAATATCCATGCTAATGAGAAAAACCGAACATTATTCTTCATGTGGATCTCCCGTTAAATCCAATCGATTCTGTTTAGTATAGTAGACGAGTGAGTTGTTCATGAATACAAGAGGTAGATCATTAAAGTAGGGTATTTAAGGAGATTGTAGACAACTATCGAGAACCTAGAAACACTGTATCGCTGTTTCGTCCTAGTATGGGACTCCCAAACGGTTCTCATTGGTGATCCTGCAAAGGAAAATCAAAAATCGGACCTCCAGTCTCGAGCGCAAACGCTTAATCTCGTAGGTGCGTACCGCTGAAGAGGCCCGTACTTTGACAAAACGGCCTTCCAGGTTTTCAATATTGGTATAGCTGAAATCAGTTCATGATTTAAGCTATGAATAGAATGTGTCGTTAGTAGTTGGACAACCGTGAATTAATTATGATTTTTATAGAGTTTTATATAGTGCTTTATTAGGTTTTCTTGTAAGACAATATCAGTCGGTCAACAAATTCCAGCCAATTATGTTTTGTTAGATAATCACTTAAGATGCTTAGTACTTCGAAAAATATGTGCTTATTTTTGTTATACAAAATTGATTTACCTATTAATTCAATATTTTCTCATAGTTTATCATACCAAAAATATACAGTTAGCGTATTCTCTGCAAGCTTCTTGGTACTTAAATTATGAATTTATTAGCCTGAATTACTTTCTAGCATTTCACAACTGTTTTACATTAGTTTACAGAGTACACATAATTTATATGACATTGGATAGAATCCATAAGCTTTATGTCTCCAAGAGAGCACATTCTCATTAAATCATTTGAATCAGAATCATGTTATTATCATACGTAATTTTAATTGGTTTGAAATATTGAAGGAATTGAAGGCAATGTTTTTTTGAATGGTTACTCTCTTTGAATGTGTGTATTAGGAAAAAAATATAAGAATTTTGAACACCTTTGAAAAATGCATCTTTAGTATTAAACATGATTAAACTTTTGATTATTGTAGTCGTTGGACATAGATTCATTTAGACTCTATATTCCCTTGAGTAAAGCTTATAGAAATAGTAATAACATATGTTATTCTTAATTTGTTACATGGATTAGAATGTTATAATTTTATTTATTAGCGGACTTTTCCGGCTTTATCCTATTTTATTATTATCAGGTTAATTTATTTTATTATCTTGTTTTAGACACTGAAAAAAAAGGATAGTTAACAAATTCAGTGCAGTTGGAAGTTTAACTAAGGAATAATGCATAAGTTGTTAGGATGAAGAAAAGTATTTTATGTTAATTTCTTAGTTTTTGACAATAAATATGGGTCAGATAGGGTGAGAGAGATAATAGTGCAATTGTAATTCGATCAAATGTTTAATGGAAAACTCTATATTGTGTAAAGTTTTTTAGGAAGATATAAAGTGGAATGAATACGAAGTAGATAACTCTAAGTGGATAACGCGGTGGCATTTGAAGCGAACGGTACTGGGTTCGAGTCCCATAGTGAACATCAACTCGGAGATGCTTGTGAGTCACAAAGAGGATGAAACGTGCGGCCTGGATTCCACTGCTAACCACTATCTATATTTGCTTAGAATGTTCGCTAATTAATGCAATATCGAGGCAATACACACAGTATGCACGTATGCCAATAAGAGACTGTTCAATTGCAATCCTAAACATCACTGGGAAGATTCGAGTAAGCAATACCAAGTGAAATTAAGCATGTATTGGGGAGATTATTAATGATGTTTAACCAGTTGTAATAATAATAATAATAATAATAACGATAATAGTAGTAATACAGAGATTTGTGAATAAAGATAACAGTGAAAATTACATTTGACTACGAAAGGTCGTAAGTACAATAGTCAAATTATGCCATTCAATAGCTAAGATCACTACTGAATAGTTGACCTTAAATCAACTGATGCCTTGATACATGAATGAAATAAACGTGTCCGTTGAAACTTTCTTCAACTCACACAACTTGTAATACAGTCTGGTGATTTTTAAATACATTTTACGCCTTATGTTATCCATATTTAGAGATGCTGAATACAGACAAGTTGTTAAAATGGAAATTAACATTTATCCATATATAGATAGATACCCAACCACTATGATATAATTGAATAGCCCTGTCTTTTACTCGTATGAAATCAATCGTTTATAAAAGGTGTTTTTAGTATAGAATAATTGTATTTAAAATGACCAATCACAGTTTTAATATAGGATAATACGACTTTCAACTGCTCTACGACATATTGGACATGCAGTGACCTGATCACCACACCATTGACATGTAGCATGACCACACATGAAAACCAAATTTCGTGAACGATCCAGACATATAGGACATCGAATCTAAAATGTGCAGCCGGTATAAAAATATAATTAGTAACGTGTATTATAATAATGACAATTTTTAAAATAATTATTGTCTGTATTCAATCGCTAGTAAAAGAAAAGCTAGTGAATGACAGCTATGACGTTTACGCCGCAAAGTTATACTGATTATGTCAACTTACACACTGGTGTACTATTGTTAATTTGTCAGTGAATTTTGATTGTTTAACATACCACGTACCTAAAAAGTACAGTTCAGCGGATTTAAAACAGAATTTAAGCCTAAGTACTTTGACATTGATTATGATTCATTGTAAGCACTCCAGTTCTATAGAAGGTCAATAGTTAACCGAATATCATCCACCTAAGCTACAAATCTCCACCGTTTCAGTAAATTAAATATTATAATCATAAGATTTGAAATTCAGCAACCGAATAATCAAACTATTGATCAATCAAATCGACTTGAACCTATGAATTTTAACATAATCTAATAAATCAATTATCTACAATAATGAAAAAAAGCTGCTAGAATATAACGTCTTTTCAACGGTCTCTTGTTCTTGACGGTCAAATGTTAGTAAGTGAAGAAAACTATTTTCTCTGGTTATCTGAGAATCTACAAATATGAGCGTACAGATGTGAGACTGAAAGCCCTGGTGTAGATCGTGACAATCGGTGAGTCAGTCAGTCAGTAACAACGTAGAACTTCGTACTTACGTACATCAGTTCGAGATTTCAAAGTCTTTACCTGGTACGTTTACATAGTCTTCGATTATCCATTTGTATTTTGAGGTGGGTTCAGCAGTCTGAACTATCTTCTCGTTTGGCCTTCAAGTGTTCTGCCTACGCTGCAGTTTTGATGTACTGATCCTCTTCTCTCCGTATGACGACTGTGACAGCCTTGGGGCCGCTTTCCGCTACATACTACTTTCAACCAC